AAAGACTGAACTGTGTAGAAAATTTCATCGTGATCGGACTCTCCTTTCGAAAGTTATCGTGTAAACGGCCGGCCGGACATACTGACCGATTCTAGAGTGTACTCACTTTTTGAGTACACAATAATCATTCTTCATAAATATTCTGTGACCGATTGCAACAACAAGTATTAATTATCTTTGAAATATCATATTCAGAAAAAAGATTGATTCTGAATACATCGGAAACAGATTTAATATCAGTTGACAAATATTATTTGATTTTGTGAGGCATGATATTGAATAAGCCATTAGAAAATGTCCATCACTTATCAGTAATTTAGACTCGAATTGCTTAACGAAAGAAGATCTTGGGCGTGGGTGTAGGTGTGAATCTCGGTGTGAATAGAGAATCTACACGCACACGCACTTCCGCAGCGATTTTCAGTACTATTTTTGAGACGACGCCGAAAAATAAACTTTGATGTTTGAAATTTCTGTGCTTTAACCTCTTCTTAATCGTTCGGTATATTCATATTCTCGTGTTTTTATTCAAAATCAGCATATATTTTGACCAATAAGTGGAGAAAAAACGAGTTATTATTAAATAATCAACAACTGTGAACAAGGCAAATGCTTGATTTCTTTCTTGAGAAGTAATGCTAGTGGGAGAAACAAAATCAGCGAAGTTATTGTCCTGAAAATCTTCAGTAGTTTCATGACTTCAACTTAGTGCACGCTAAGTAGAAATCGGCTCAATGATATCACTAAAATAAGAAAAACCTGACTATTTTCGTATCGAATGGTTCGATTTCACGTTGTTTTCATCAATTACTTTTTTGTATTAAGACTATTTAATACAATAATTAAAATTTGAATGAAAATAAAAATAGTATCATATTTCTTTTGTATAGTGGGATTATACGAGGTACCTCTTCGTCTACAGTAGCTTTAAAAGGCACCACTGATCATTTCAGCATCAATAAAAGCACCATTCTGATTCGATTTTGCTTGAACTTCAACGACAATGGTTTCAATGACTTTTCATTACTCGATCTTCTTTCTGCTCATGTAAATAGAAATTCTTTCATCATTCTATTGACCTGATACCTCGTTGTTGATTTAGTGCATTAACAGCACAAGTTAACTCTCAATTGTGCCATGGAATATCTCAATATGGCCGTTGTTCTTCAAACAATGCATGTGGATGTTTTCATATGGAAGGTGTCTCAAACATCGGTGTTTGTGGCTTTCAATGGGTTGATTGCTCTGGATTAACTCCATGCGATCAAACGGATAGTAATTGTCCTGAACCCGATCAGATTTGCGTGAACCATCCCCGATGCAATAGTCTTCCTGTTTGTTATCCTGCATCAATGATTCACTCAACAGTTTGTCCACCAATTAAAAGTAAGAGAGAAAATATTATAGGATAAATTAGACTTTTCAAATACTAAAATTTCGTACAGTTTATATGATATTTTAACACATTTTGCATGGAATGTTTTCATAAATTTTTGTTTTAATGCCTAGCAGCAAGTACTGTATCTACAACTGAAACTGTCACTACAACTGAAAAATTTGGTAAATATTGCATTAGTTTATTTATAAAATGAAATATGAAACCGATATTTCAACACTAAAAAGTAGCACTCATAATAATTCTTTTTTAGCGTTCATTCCATTACGCGGAAGCAATGTCGATATTCCTTCAAATGCACAGTGGCAACCAGAAGGTATCACAGTAGCTGAAGGCTATCAATTGTCCAATGGAACAAACATAACCAATAATCTCTACTACCCGATGGGTATATTTGTTGCAGATGACCAAACATTTTATGTCACTGATCCAAACAATAATCGAGTTATGGAACTCAGATTAGGCGTAACCAGTGGAAAACTTGCTGCTGGTGGAAATGGCAGAGGTAGTGAGGCTCATCAATTATCCGGCCCAACAGATGTAATTGTTGAGAAAGAAACAGACAGCCTCATCATTTGCGATTCGAATAATAAACGAGTAGTTCGATGGCCTCGTGTTAATTCTCAAAGCGGAGAAACCATAATATCAAATGTCAGCTGCCATGGTTTGACAATGGACCAAGATAGATCGTTGTATATTGTTGGCTATGACACAGATGAAGTGAGACGATATCGAAAAGGAGAATCGCAAGGTACCGTAGTTGCAGGTGGTAATGGCCGTGGAAACGGTGCCAACCAACTCAATTGGCCACAATACATCTTTGTCGACCGAGACCGTTCAATCTACGTAACTGAATGGTATAGTAATCGTGTGACGAAATGGGTAGAAGGTGCAAAAGAAGGAATCGTTGTTGCAGGTGGTAATGGACGAGGAAATGCTCTTAACCAATTAGCAGGTTCTCAAGGAGTCCTTGTCGATCAATCAGGCTCTGTATATGTAGCTGATGGCGGCAATGGTCGAGTTGTTCGTTGGCCCTTAGGAGCTAAAGAAGGTATTGTCATAGCTGGCGGAAATGGACAAGGAAAACAATCAAACCAACTCAGTTATGCATATGGTATGTCATTTGATCGACAGGGCAATCTTTACGTTGTTGATCATTGGAATCATCGAGTGCAAAAATTCAATATCGCCTAAAATGTTTAAGAAAAAGTTTTTTTCGCTTTTCTGCAATCAATATTTAATAAATAAGCTTTAATTATTTTGGTTCCAAATTTTCTTGTCTACGTGAGATCACAATAAAAAATGTGGAAACGTTGGATTTAAATCCGAGAGTTATGTGCACTTCAAAAAGTGAATGAGGCAGATGAGTTATCCTAGAATGTGGGGACATAAAAATTATCCTGGCAAACCTTTTCTATAAACACTTGATTTCTACTGGCTACTGCTCAACCAACGGGATTTCGAGGCGAATGGAGCACAGATTCGAGTTCTCCACTCCATAAAACCTCGAAGTATCATCTCTGTGATTGGAAGATAGAGCTCGAATTGTGGGTGTGAGTGGGTGTGGGTGTGAGTATGGATGAAGACGACACACACCCACCCTTTTTCAGATCGATTCAGATGCCAATTTGAGAACCAACATTGATACTTCCATGAGCTTTTTTCTTGATGTATCGAATCAAGGACTCAAAAGAAAAAGCAGACATATGAGCTAGTCCACCATGTTCTCGAACTTGATAAGCGAGGTGAAGGTGTGCATGCAAAGAAAATATTTCGATAGATGTATCATGCACACCTGCAACTATTCGACAATAAAAATCTAAAAGACGTTCACGAAACCATATTTCTTCTTTGTTTTGTGGTGTGTGCAAAGTTTAATGGCTAGTGAGTAAATAAGAAAATGAGAAAATAGCAAAGTAGATAAATGACCAAACATAACGGGTACTCCAACATAAAGTACAAAAAGGCGGGAACTCTTTGCTTTCCATTGTGATGCTTTGACGATCGATTCAAGAAAAATGACTTTCATATTGTGCGGGATACGTAAATTTTTCAGCTTCTCATCGATTTTCAATATCACCTTTTTGTCTAAATTTGAACACCATCGATGAATTAATGTTGGAATATGACCGAGACATACTAAATGCATATAGTCGTAGACGATTTGTCTTGGATATTCGAATATTTGAGTAATAGACGAGAGACCTTTTACACCATCAGCAGCTATTTCTTTACCCTGATTCGATTTTCGTATAGCTTCTCAAGCTGCTTCCAGATAACTTTGATGCGTACGAGCCGAAAGATCATTTTTCCATATGGATAGAGAACTTTGTTGTATTCAGCAGACCACAACCCTAAAGCATCAGAAATCAATTTTTTAATATTAAAATTTCGACAAGTTGGTCTTGATAAAAAAAGTATCTCACAAATTCTTTTTTTTTAAGTGTATAACATAATGATGATCTCAGTTTTTGTCTTATTTTTAATTAAAAAGAAAATCTTCAATTCAGCTTTACAATGGCATGAATAATATAAAAATTACTGTGATTCTAAGTGCAGGTTTTAATTAAAGTTGAGGATTTAATTTAAAATAATTTGTCTCATTATATTTTTTAGAACAGAATTGAGACATCGATTTTTTTTCTTTCAATGATAGTGTTGTAACTCTTTTTAGAAAGTTTTCATTCTTAAGGAAACCAAACATTTAAATAAAGTATAGTTTGCGAAGTCTAACTCTGAAACAATATTTAGATGAAAACATGATATAACCGTAATGCTTTTCCTTGATAAATTTTTTTCTATACATGCAAAAAAAATAGATCACCTTTGCTACAACAGAATGTACAAGCTGAATAACCATTGAAATCCGTGGTGCAACAAAATAAAGCTTTTGCTGGGAGATCCGACACAAAAAATTGAGTACTAATATTGAATTGATATTCCTTATTTTCCATGAAAATTGAAGTTCCATTCTGAATCAATGAAAATAGATCATTCACAGTTTCTTCTAGAAAGATATTAACATCAGGTTTCTTTTTTGAGAGCCAAAGAGCTAAAATAATTATGTTGGATTGGAATTCTCTTAATGAAGGAGGAATTTCGACTATTGATCCAAAGCAAGGCCAAATAGATTTTTTAGACGATCGAACTATTGGAGCACCATCAGAATGAATAATCAAACTAATTTTATTACCAGACACTGCCGGCATACTTTGGTATCTTTCACCGTAACAAATATCACTTTTAGGAAATAAACTTGGTTTATTTATGAATGAAACATTTCTGTTAATAATGGATTGGATTTGTGGCCTGACGTCAAAACGAACTATCTCAATAACCTCTGTTGTCTGACGCCGTCGAAATGAAGTTGAGCAATGTTGATTGACACACATCTGGTAACGCACTCCAGGCGTGTGGCATGATTGATTACAATCACTACAAAGCCAACTTGTGGACGTTGATGAAACATGTTTCAACGCTTCTTTCATACGTGTCAGTGTCTTTGGAAGTAAATTTTTAATTAAATGAAGCAATTTTTTTACTTTGTCTTTATCCTAATTTAGGCTTAAATAGAAATTAGTGATTCGATTGATAGCATCCGTGATACTAATAGGAGAACCATGAAATAATGGACGTGCATCATTTTCGTATTCATCTTCAATAGTCCAATCGACATTATTATCAGCAGTATTAGCAGATGCTGAGAACGGCAAAGGCTCATTGTTGATTATCATAGAGCACTTTTCTACATTTATCTGTTGTTGTTGATCATATGTTACTGAAAATTGTTCACTATAATTGTCAACGCAGCAGTCATCAGAAGAATTTTCTCCAACGATTAGTTGACGAACAGCTTGACGTTTGATCTGTCGAACGCGACGACGTTTATTTACTTTATGAGAAAAATGATACATTGAATCTTAGAATCAGAAATAAGACCTTTAAAATCAGAGATAAAACATTATCACGATGATAAGAACAATCGTAAGTATGAAGTACTAATTCACTCAATCATGTGCATTTCAATAAATCAGATCTTTATTATTTGAAGAGATTTATATTGATAGAATATAAGGTGAAGCTTATTTATTGGCAGATAAAAGCCCAGCGATTGTAGCGGTGTTTTAGGCCTTATTGTGATGCAGTCACTGTTTTATTATATTACGGCAATTAGCGCCGTGATATAGCAAGATAACACCGTGATATGGCGCTTTGGCGTTACAAACGTCGCTAGTATAAAAAAAACAGCAACATGGGAACAGACATGAATAAAATTAAAAAAGAAACAAAAGAGTTCTTTTTTGTGATAAATATATTGGATTAGGTTTTGATACACGTTTTTCAAATAAAGCTATTTGTGATTCTCAACTACGATCTTCAAAAAATCTTATAAACTAATTGAAACCAAGGTCACGATCGAATGAACTTGTATTTTCATTTGTTATTAATATATTTCATAATTCTTCACTACGTTTTAATATTGAATAAAGAGTATCTTTTTTTAATAAAAAAAGATAATAAATCAAAATGATCTTTAATTGATTCTTCATGTGTAAAAACGACCATCAAGCAATGTATCAATTGTAACATATCCATGTATTTTATTCCAAATATCGAATTAACATGTTGATAAACTCTTTATTAATGCTGATATAAGATCACGTTTAAATGTATTTGTGGAATCATGACGTAATAAATTATAGCTGATACAACCCAGTTTTGTTTACGTTGTAAATCACTCATACCATCCAAGAGAATAATCACGTTGAAACGCATCATATGGTAAATCACTTTCACTAATTATATGTAAATGATAATTTAAAATATGATCGAACATTAAACGACTAATTCGATCTTCACGTGTCAGATCTCATAAAACTTCTAAAACACAATTAGCAGAATCTTTTTGACATTTTTGATCAATAGAAGCAAGTAATTCAAGTAGTTTTTCTTGTGTTAAATTTGTTTCTATCTTCTATGACTAAAAAAGCCAGGCCTTATATATAAACAAAGAAAAAAACTAAATTAATTTTGTTTTACGTTATGAATAAAAACAAAAATAAGATAATTAACTCGTTCTAAATTGAAATTAGCTGATGCTGATACAATTAATGTAAATAAATGATCAATTGCAACCCAAGATCAACTATGCTAAAATAATAACAAAGTTTCTCTTTTTTTTTGTAAAAGTAAAACGAAGAGAGAATATTTTCAATTGGTTGCTTTTTGTCTATTGTTACTATATTTATATTCGAAGATAAAATTTATTTAAACGATTTCTTTGAGATAAAATATTATTGATTCTTATAAAGAAATTATTCTATTGAAAAATAGTTCTTCAAAAAGTTTTCCAACTAAATGTTTAGAATCAATAAGGAAATAAGTCAGTTGATTTATTGGGTGTGGGTGTGGATATGAGTGTCTCTTTTACAATATCCACACCCACACCCACCCACATCCATACTCACACTCACACACCCACACCCACACCCAAATTAATGATGGGAAAATATATATGTAGGCGAAACTCGC